GCCTCAAGACTCATCTCTGTCAACTCTCTGCTTTCAGGTCACGTCCACTCCCCCGTTCCTGTGTAAATACTGTAAACTTATTTCATTTTTATATACTCAAGTCTCTGCCTCGGTTTTGTCTACTTGTATTTGCTCACACCTGTCTGTGCTCTGTAAACGCGATACCTGCAGGATCCATCTGTAGGCAGAGCAGGTGGTACCACCGGTTGCATGTGTCACATTGAATCTGAAAATATAGTCCACAAATGTGAAAGCATTGAAAAACAAATGTGGTAGAATTGTTAGAAAATTTGTTTTGTTTTTACTAATGTGTACCGTCTGTAACACTAATATATTCAGGATAAGCACCTGCTTTGCCACTACCCTGCACTGATTAAAAAGATTAAAAAAGTAAAATGATGGATGCCTTAATGCCATTCATGATATCAACAATCTGTAAGTTGTGTTCAGGATATATGTTTAACATTTGTATTGATCATAATATATTGCTGTTTACTGCCATAGTGTAATTAATAATACTTATTCACATAGTGATTATTTCATTCTGACTCTTGTTTTCTCAACAAATTTATAAAACCAGATAATGTCTTTATGACTACTTACCCAGTCAGTGACAGGAGGCCCTGGCATTGGCGGTTTGCAAGCTGAGCACATTGCACAGTTGCTCTCCATGTCAAACACTTCAATGTAAAGAAGATTTTACTTGCTGGTTGGACATAAAAAAATACAAGTAATATTCGAGACATAAAAAAAGAAACATACTACCTGATGAGTTCAGTATTTCCATGGCAAAAGAATGCCGTTCCTTTGCCATGTCAGATTTAGCTGTGGAAAAGGTCATAGTTGGCTTGTCTGGAAAAGCCTCCAGGAACGCCCTTGCCATCTGTTAGAATGATAATTAAATCCATTTTCAACTTTCATTGGTCTAGAAGGATTACTTCTCTTCTTCAAAAAGTCTTGCAAACACAATACTGAATTTAAATTAAACTTTTCAAGTTTAAAAAACTTCCAAGAAACAATATATTTTTAGAGTAACTCCACAGCTGCTTCCATCTCTCTGAACTGGGTGGCTGATAACGCCTCCTGATAGTTTTACATCCATCCAGTCATTACGATGCAGTGATATTCTTCTCATTTTAAAGAATTCTCTAAAAACAATACAGAAATGTTTATATTTATAATATTTTATTTTATAAAAAAATAATTACATCCAACAACAAACATCATCCTAAAATT